AAGCAGACGGCTGTCAACAACCTACAATTAAGGGGAGCTTTATAGACTGGGAGGAAACAGACAAAACTTGGGATTCTTGGGAACTGGTCCAGGAAGCTACCTCACTCTTTCCTTTAGCTAAGAAAGTTGCTTATCAGTAAATCCACGCAGTGCATGTAACTCCTGCTCTACATTGTGTCAGTGTGTGTGTGTTTGCATGTGTATATAGCAGAGTAATGTCAAACATTTGGAATTGTCACATGAAAATTAAATTGCTTTCTATATGGCAGGGCATCTGCCTGTCTAGATTCATAGTACTTTCCCAAGTTGGCAGTGGCAGCATTGTAGGTCAAATGATATCTAGACACAAAAGGTTTGACTAGAATGCTGAACTGAATAGATGGGACTGAACAATATCCACCAAGAGACAAAATTTAAACCTAATTACAGGACAGAAAAAAAAAAGACTTAATATGTATACTCCATGGTCCTCTCCAATGTTCTGCAGAAGTCTTGCATTAGAAGATGGAGCTTAACATCAGTGGTAGAAATACTAATTTTAAAAATAAAAAGGTAGATATTGCTAAACAATTATATACAAGGGAATCCAATTAATCTTATATTTCAGTGGTCCCATCAGAAAATCTCAGTATAAGACCTTTTCTTTCCAAGGTACAACTCAAGCAAGTTCAAGAATGAGGAGCAAGGAAAAAACGAAAAATAAGCAAAACAGTAACTTACTGTTGTTTGTTGTCTACCAGCTTTGTAAAACTAATACCAATACAGAAATTTAACAAATTAGGATTTGCTTTAGAAATAATGCTGATGTAAAGGTCACATAGAATAAAGGGACCATCCAAGTCAAACCATTTTCCGATGCTGAATATTTTAATTAGAAATCTTTCTTCTATATCAGTGTTTCCCAAACTTGACAATTTTAAGGCATGAGGACTTCAACTCCCAGAATTCCACAGCCAGCAACGCTGGCTATGGAATTCTGGGAGTTGAAGTCCTCATGCATTAAAATTGTCAAGTTTGGGAAACACTGTTCTATATCATCATTGTAATATTCTTTAGTATTTGACATCATGGCCACCAATTACCTCAATGTTATCTTTATCCTGAAGGAAACCTGGAAGTTTTCAAGAAAAGATTGGATAACCATTTGTCTGGGAAGGTATAGAGACTTTTGCTTTGGGTAGGGTGTTGGACTAGAAGACTTCCAAAATCCCTTCCAGCCCTATGATTCCATGATTCCTCTATTTATTTGTAAATTTGGTTAACTGGAGCTCACATAGGCTATGTAACATCTGTCTGCCATTTATAAGAGTACATTTAATGCAAATATCAAGATTTCATTACATTTTCTTACATTAACAAAACAATTAAGACCTCATCAACAATATCTATTGGCTCTTGAGATAATATTTCCTGAATGCGTTTTTTTCTTTTTTCTGTCTCTATCAAATACTGATATATAGTATATCAAACTGAAAAATGGCTATTCACTAATTGAACAAATTAGCCTGGGGAAAAAAAAAGAACCAACATCCAGGCAAAAAATAAAGAACTAGGTTTCTTATCATTCCATATTCCAGGATAGAAAACTTGATCATTTGAAATATTTTGTGAGACACTAAACTTCGTTAAGTTTGGTTGGCCACAGACTATGGTTTATCTAACCTAGGGGTTATGGCTTATCTCTCTTTGATATTTAAGCCATATGTATTCTTACTTTAAAAGAACAAATTGCTATCTATTCTTGTTTCACACACATAGAAGACCCCTCACTAATAATAACATAAAATAGAAGCCTAAGCAGAAAAGACACTGGTAGAAATCTTTCCCATTATGATCAAGTAAACAGCTATGGTACCTAGCAAGTACTTTATAGCTTTTGCATAAATGAAGACAAAGGGGGAATGATGGCTCAGATGTTGAGCTTGTCAGCTGGAGTACTGACATCTCAAGCTCCATACAACAGGGTGAGCTCCCATTACTTGCCCCAGCTCTTGCCAACCTAGCAGATTGAATCTACTTGTAAATGCAAGTAGATTAATAGGTACCACTTTAATGGGAAGGTAACAAGGTGTGCGCCTTTGGTGTATAGCCATGCTGGCCACATTGCCACAGAAATTGTCTTTGAACAACACTGGCTTCCTCAGCCAAGAAATGAAGATAAGAACCATGCCCTAGAGTCAGATATGAAGGACAGGGAAATCTTTAACTTTTTTTATAATGAAAACAGTGCTCCAGAAACATTAAGAGCAAAGCATTAGAAATGAAAATCATTTTTAAAAAGAACATCCTGAAACTTTTACTTTACTGAGAACATCAGATATTAAACTCTTCTTAAAATCAATACTTACATCTATATCCTACATTTTTTCTAAACAACTCAAAATGCCATTTTTCTGAAACCTAACATTTTCAGCTGAAGGACTGGAGGTTTTTTTATTCACAGCTTACTACAAAGCCAAAATAATTATTTTCACATTAGATTCAGAGACCTCTCCAACATTAAACATGCTTTTCAATACTGTCTTTAAGGATGTAGATGAAGTAAATTATAAGCCCCTGAATTTCCAATTAGAGTTAAGAACAAAAGTTTTATTCACATGCATTTTCTTTCTCCCTCTCTTACCCTTCCAAAGCGGATGAACATGTACTTTCCTGCTAATAATAATTAATAATCTAGAATTGTAAATGAACTGCAAAAGAAAAGCAGAAATGATCAGCAAGAGGAAAAGATCAAAATGAGAGCCATTCATATAACAGCAATAAATAACCTTCAGATTTCATTCCAAAAACAATTGCTTGAACTTTCCATTGATTGTTCAAAAGGAAGCAAAAGAATGAAACAAAAAAGTAAAAAAGAAAGAAAATCTTAAGACAACTGCTTAAGTTCCTTCCTGGCCAGAACAAGAAAAATTCATGTTTTCTTTCTTTACTTACCATAAACAATTTATATACAGTATTAGAGATTTACAAAGATGTAACATGCATTACTAGTTCCTTATTAATTACTACTCCACAAATATGTTAATTTGTACAGTAACAGAAAGTTTCTTAAATTGTCACCAATTCATGAAAACTGCTTGTAAGGAAGATATTAGCCCTGCTCTCTGAAGTACCAAGTAAAAGCTCTCTTTAATACTCACTGAGTGATTGAGGTTAGCCCTGTCACTCTCACCTCAACCTACCACACAGATGGTTGTTGTGGGGAAAACAGGAAGACAGCATTATGTATACTGCCTTGAACTCTGAGTGAAAGCTGGGATGGAAATATAACAAATAAATAAAATCCAGATGTCAGAGAAGTTAAGTTTATTCTGGCTAAGCTTCCATAACTGTTTTAGCACTTATTTCTACTTTTTTAGCTTTATCTATTGTCAGCCCACCTCCCTATATGCATGCAGTCCATAAAGTTAAAAATAAGCTGCATGTCAGCTCTTTCCAAACTCACCTCTTTCCAAAATGCTTTTGAAAAAAGCATTTTACTGATAGTTTATCAAATGCTTCATGGATCCTCTGAATCAACTAGCCCAAACACAAGGATAAACAAGGAATCCAGGGTCCTCTATGGAAGATAACAGCCCTGTCTTTGAATTTTTGTTCATGTTGAAAGAAAGGGGGATGAAAGTGACCCCACAACTTTCCTCTCCAGTCACCAAAGTCCAGACTGATTTCAAACTCCAAGGCATATTTCACTGATCTGCATCTATGTTTTATTCAAATCCTGTTGTCTCACTTTATTTTAAGAGAGCAATAGTCACCAAAATAAAGGGGCAGAATTTGGTATAAAGTATTACTGAAATGTCAATGGGGCATACAGTCTATTCCTTCATGGCCTCACACCCACCCTGCAGAAATACAAATTCAGCTGAATCCAAAGGATTTTTCTGTGAGGACTAAGATCAAAATCATGAGGTACTTATTCAAAGTTCTCCTCCTCTTCATGCAGCACACAACTTATTATTTATTATTTATTTATTTTATGAGACTTATATACCGCAAGCACTCTCTAAGCGGTGTACACCAGTAAGCAATGTATATATATATTTACATTGCCCCCAACAATCTGGGTCCTCAGATTGTTGTAAAGGCAGTTTAGGTACTCCCTTCTTTATGCCTATCCTAATAGTACATAGAAAAGGATTGAAGAGCCATTCTCTGAAAATGGGTATTATAATGCACATAACTGACAATGCAGTACAGCTTTCTTCTATTTTCAGTTCCATGTTCCTCCACCCTTAATTATGGACTACAACACCCTTAAAAAAAAAACCCTGCCTGTTGATTCTAGATAACAATGCAAAAATAATTAAAAATAAATCCAGCTCCAGATGGATCAATTTAGATGTGCACAAAAGAACTGGTACATCTAGAACAGCCATTAAATTTTGGATACTGGCTCAAAATCTGCCTCAAAGGGTGGGGACAATTATTTTGCCATTAAGTGCCTATCCATAGTGACCATGCTTAATGAAATAGGTAAAGGATGTGTTTCCTCTTTCCCTTCGTTTTAGCAAGACAACTGGGCAACGAACTGAGGGGCTATGAGATGATGCGCTGAATAGGGAGAAAAAGAAAAATTGAGAAAACCAATTATACTTCTGGGGGGGGTGTACACATTTGAATGAACATCTGATTAACCGATAATACATAAAGATTGGGCTCAGGTGACCGGGGGGGGGGGAAATCTTCCCTCCCTCTGAGCATTTCTTCTTCCAGGTTGCAGGCTTGAGAAAAGTCCACACAGGAGGTGGACTTTGGTAGCACTTCTTGCAAGGGTGCCCTTAGTAGCTCGAGGGGAATAGGAGTACACGGATCTCAACTAGGGAGGCGGAGGAGACCGAAGGAAGAATTGGGGGCGGGGTGAGGCAGGAAGTGAGGGTCACATAGCTGCCCGAAAAAACGTCTCCTGCCACAACTAAGCCCTCGCGTCTAGCCCCCCCCCCCGCTTGTCCCTCCCGAGAGGGCTGCCCTTGCATGCATGCGGGCGTCCATCCGTCCCTCACCGGTTAATATGGTGCGCGAAGGCCCTTCGCTCCGGAGCCGCCATGCTCTCTCCAACGCGAGCGCACCCCCCGCCGATCCTTCGCCGGGGAGTCCCAGAGGGCGAAAAGACGAAACGAGGCTCCACGCTGCCTTCTGAGGGAGCCGCCGCCTGGGCGAGCGAGCCAACCGAGCCGACGGCGGCGACCGAGCGAGCGAGCGAGCAAGGGGCGGAGCCCAGGTGGGGACCTTGGTTCCAGCGGCAGGGACAAAAGCGCTCCCTGTCGGCTTCAAACCGCAACAGCCACGATCACTTCTCCGCACACCCTCTCCTCTCCGGTTCCCAGGCTTGCTTTCTCCTTTGCCTCGTTTCTCGAATGGGTGGCTCGGCTGGGATGAATAAAAGCTATCCGAGGCTGTAGCTGCAGGAGAATCTGTTCTGAGTGCAAAATGTTAGCCTTAAAAATATGCATTAAATAAGAAGGAACAAGAATGCGTCGGCACACGGCCAGAGTCTATTCTTTCCGTTTCTGATGTCCCCCTGCGGACAGACATACTCACTTATCTGCCTGGTAATATGCGAACAAACAAACTTCTGGCCAGATAGTTTCTCCCACGAGGAATTAAGTACTGCGGTAGATGCCAAAAAATATGGGAAACGACGTTTTTTCCTGCCAGGGAACGCCTAAGACTATTTCTGTTGAAATACGAACGTGCATCGTTTAAAACCAAAGAAAGTAGTTTATGGTTTTTTAAAAAAGGTCTTCAACTCGATATAGATAACAATCTTATTTATATATATTTGGGAGCCCAGTAATGCTTCTTTGACACCGGGGCATTCTGAATAGAATAGAATAGAATAGAATAGAATAGAATAGAATAGAATAGAATAGAACCTTGGAGGTCTTCTAGTCCAGCCCCCTACTCAAGCAGGAGGACCTATACCATCTCAGACAGGTGATTGTCCAGTCTCTTTAAAAACTTCCAGTGATGGAGTGCCCACGATTTCTGGGGGTAAGCTGTTCCACTGGTTGGTTGTCCTCACTGTCAGGAAGTTTCTCCTTAATTCCAGGTTGCTTCTCTCTTTGATCAGCTTCCAGCCATTGTTTCTCATCCTTCCCTCTGGTGCTCTTGTGAACAACTTGACCCCTCTTCTTTGTGGCAGCCCCTCAGATACTGGAACACTGCTATCATGTCTCCCCTATTTTTTCTTTTCTTTAGACTGGCCAAACCCAAGTTCTGCAGCCATTTTTCGTACGTTTTGGTCTCCAGGCCTTTGATTATCTTAATTGTTCTTCTCTGAATTTTTTCCAGACTCTCAACATTCATTTTTGTGATATGATGACCAAAATTGACTGCAGTATTCCAGGTGTGGTCTTACTAGTGCTTTATAAAGTGGTACTAGTACTTTGCATGATCTTCATTCAATGCCTCTGTTTATACAACCCATGATTGTATTAGCTTTTTTGGTTGCTGCTGCACACTGCTGACTCATAGTCAAGTGATTGTCCACCAGGACTCCAAGGTCCCTCTGACAGTTACTGCCGCCAAGCCAGGTCTCACCTAAACTGTATTTGTGCCTTTGGTTTTTCCTGCCTAAATGTAAGACTTTGCTTTTCTCCACATTGAAACTCATTTTGTTGGATAGGGCCCATTGTTCAAGTTGGTCAAGATCTTTTTGGATCCCGAGTTTGTCTTCTGGGGTGTTGGCTACTCCTGACAGTTTGGTGTCATTTGCAAATTTGATGAGTTCTACTTCAATTCCCTCGTCTAAGTCGTTTATGAAGATATTGAAGAGTATTGGGCCTAAGACGGAACCTTGTGGTACCCCACTGCTTACTTCTCTCCATGTGGATGTAGTGCCATTGAGAACTACTCATTGAGTACAGTTTGTAAGCCAACTATAGATCCATCTGGTGGTGATATTGTCTATTCCACCTTTTTCCAGCTTACCAAGTAGGTTGTTGTCTATTTTGTCAAATGCCTTACTGAAATCTAAGTATACTACATCCACTGCATTTTGCTTGTCTACTAGTTTAGTCACTTTATCGAAGAATGAGATGAGATTGGTTTGGCATGATCTGTTTTTAACAAACCCATCTTGGCTATTAGTTAAGACTTTGTTTGCTTCTAGTTGTTCGCAGATCTGTTTTTTGATTATCTTTTCTAGGATCTTCCCAAGTATTGATGTTAAACTGATTGGTCTGTAGTTTACAGGGTCCAGTTTTTTCCCTTTCTTGAAGATGGGGACCACATCAGCCCTTTCCCAATCCTCGGGTACTTCCCCAGTGCTCCAGGATTTGTGAAAGATGTGGTACAACAGTTCTGAGATAACATCTGCCAGCTCCTTCAGAACTCTGGGATGTAATCTGTCGGGTCCTGGTGATTTGTATTCATGAAGATTGGATAGATGTTTCTTACCATTTTCTTGCTTATTTTGATCTTTGTTTCTAGTATGTCTTTTGCAGTGGGTTTTTTTTGGGGGGGGGGGGGTGTTGGGCTATGGTTTCTTTTTGTGTGAACACTGATGCAAAGTATGAGTTAAGCTGCTCAGCTTTCTCCCTTTTGCCTGTAATTTCCTTGCCATCTTCTCTCTTTAGTGGGACTACAGTTTCCTTGACTTTTTTCTTGTTAATGTGTTGGAAGAAATTTTTTTTATTGTCTTTGTTCATTCTGAGCCTTTGCTTTCCTTCTTTGCATGTTCTGGCTGTCAGCTGATAATTGGCCTTGGTTATGTGTACCTCTTTCCATTTTTTGTATTTGTCCTTTTTGTCTTTTAGCTTATTAGTGAGATCTTTGTGCAGCCATACTGGTTTCTTCCTGGATTTCTTGTTTTTCTTTCTCACTGGTATTGTGCTGATATGGGCTTTTGTGATTGTGTTTTTCAGGGTTTTCCACTCTTCTTGGGTTGTTTTCCCCTTTAGGATTTTCATCCATAGAATCTTTCCTAGGTTCTCTCTGAGCCTGTCAAAGTCGGCTCTTTTGAAATTTAGGATTGTGCTATTAAATCCTGAGAAAATGTACACAGTTGATTATGATTAGTATCAATGGAAAAGGTCAATAAGTCTCAGCTTTGGATAAAAGATTCATATGGGAGACTAACAATTTGCTAGAAGAAGTGAGGGGGACGAACCCTATATATTGAATTTTGTACATTCGCACATGATCCTGCCTTCAGTAACTCCTCTCCCCCTTCCTCCCCCCATCATCTTTTTGCTCAACCTCAGTGAGGTCAAGATGTATGGACTGGGAAATTTGGGGAGTTGAAGTCCAATACTACGCTAAAAGTTGATGGAGAAAAAAAACAACCACAAAAAAAAGCTTTCTGAAATCTGTTACCATTATCACAGCTGTGTATATCCCCCCTGGTGCAAACAGAGAAGAGGTCCTGAAAGTTCTCTGCCATGCCATCAATGACTTACAAACTACTCACCCAGAGGGTGCATTTATTGCAGTGGGAGACTTTAACCAAGTGGATTTGAAAGCTACCCTGCCACATTTCCATCAATATGTGGACTTTGCAACCAGAGGGGACAATACATTGGATCTTGCTTATTCCAACATCAAGAAGGCTTTCAAAGCTATCCCCTGCCCTCACCTGGGCTCCTCTGACCATCTCTCAGTGCTGCTTATTTCAGCATATAAACCTTTATTAGTCAGAGTGAAACCTACAGTAAAGCAGGTGAGGGTTTGGACAGAGGGAGCTATAGAAGCATTATAAGACTGCTTTGAGTGCACAGATTGGGGCATGTTTAAGGAAGCAGCGACTGATAACCAACATACAAATGTTGAGGAGTATGCCACCACGGTGTCTGGATATATCCAAAAGTGCATAGAAAATGTCTGTGTCCTGAAGAGCATTGTTGTGAGGATGAATGAAAAACTGTGGTTGACTTATGAGGTCCACAAGATGTTGAAAGCATGGAATGTGGCTTTTAAATCTGATGACAGGGTGGCACTTAGAACAGCCAGAGCAAATCTGAAAAGTGCCATAAAAGGTGCAAAGCCAGCCCATTGCCAGAAAATTCAGAACTTTTTTCAGGACCCAACAAACACCAGGCGAATGTGGCAAGGGATCCAGGCCATTACGGATTATAAGGTGGCTCCACTGAGATGCAAGGACGACACAGACTTCCTAAACAAACTGAATGCATTTTTTGATAGATTTGAGGCATCAAATAGCACTGCTAGGAAAGCTGTGCCCCATCCTGATGAGCAAATGCTAAGCTTTGATGTCACTTCTGTCCAGAAAACACTGCAGACAGTTAATATTTGGAAAGCAGCAGGCCCAGATAACATCCCTGGACATGTCCTCAGGGAATATGCAGAGGAGCTGGCTTGTGTTCTCACAGATATTTTCAACCTCTCATTGCAGCAGGCAGTGGTCCCATCGTGTTTTAAGATGGCCATCATCTTGCCAGTATCAAAAAAGTCCACAATTACAGGCCTCAATGATTACCGTCCACTGACATCCACCATCATGAAATGTCTGAGAAGATGATAAAGGACATTATTGTATCTAGCCTCCCGCCAGCATTTGAGCAGCTTCAATTTGCCTACTGACCAAATTGCTCTACAGAGGATGCTGTTTCATTCGTTCTCCATCTGAGCTTGAAGCACTTAGAGGAAAGAAATACTCATGTGCGTTTGTTGTTTGTCAACTTCAGTTCGGCGTTTAACACAATCATTCCACAGCATCTAGTAGACAAACTGGGCCTTTTAGGATTAAACACTCCTTTGTGCAACTGGATTCTTGATTTTCTTACTAGCAGGCCCCAATATGTGCAAGTTGGAACAAATACCTCTAATACCATTTTCTTGAGCACAGGTTCTCCTCAGGGCTGTGTCTTAAGTCTGCTGCTGTTCACCCTGTTGACCCATGACTGTTGTGCTAGGTTTGCCACCAACCATATTGTGAAGTTTGCAGATGATACAACAGTAGTGGACCTTATTCATGATGACAGTGTGGAAGCTTACCACAAGGAGGTTGAAGAGTTGGTGAACTAGTGTAAGGAAAACAGCCTAGTTTTAAATACCGGAAAAACCAAGGAGATCATTGTTGATTTCAGAAAAGGCAGGCACAGCCACACTTCTCTGTGCATTAATGATTCACCTCTGGAGATGGTTACCAGCATCAAATTCTTGGGTGTGCAGCTAACGAGTAGGCTGATTCTGTCGCTCAACAGTGAGAAACTGGTGAAGCGGGCACAGCAGTGCCTTCATTTTCTGCATTGCATGAGAAAAGCACATCTTCCTTCCCCTGTCCTGACCACTTTCTACAGGGAGACGATCGAGAGCATCCTGTTGTACGGCATCACAGTCTGGTTTGGAAGCATCACTGCTTCAGACAGGAAGGCGGTGCAGAGAGTGGTGAGAATGGCTGAAAAGATCATTGGCAGTTCCCTACCTCCCATCCAGGACATAACACAGAAGTGTTGCTTGAGCAGGGTCCGCAAGATTGTCTGGGACCTACACATCCTCTTCACAACCTGTTTTCCTTGTTACCTTCTGAGAGGAGGCTTTGTGGTATCCGTAGCAGA